TTTTTCATATCACTTCCTAGTATTCTTCCTCAGTACTTCAACTGTCCTTTTGTTCTTTTATTTTTCTCTTTCATGGATGCTATATTCTTTGGAAGCTTATTTAGACCAAGTTAATGACCTTTTAGGCTTCCTCCATGTGAATAGGAGTTCACTTTTTGAATAATAAGAACTATATGTCACAGGAGTGAGCATCAGAACTTTAGAGATGCTTAGGTGGGGCATGGCCAAAAAAAAGGTTGGGAACCACTGTTTTAAAGTATCCTTTGTGAGTAGGTGATAACAACCATGCAAATCAATAATCAAAATGTTCAAGAGGGCCTGGCGGGTGTTGCTCAGTGGTTGAGCATCGACCTATGAACCAGGAGGTCACAGAGTTCGAATCCCGATTAGGGCACATGCCCAGGTTGCAGACTTGATCCCCAGTGGGTGCATGCAGGAAGTAGCCAATCAATGATCCTAATCATTGATGTTTCTCCCTCCCTCCCTCTCTGAAATCAATACATTTTTTAAAAGTTCAAGAGACAGTCAATGAGAAGTCCCCCTCGAAACCCTCTCCCACCTGCTGGATCCCACCCCATTGCCAGATAACCACTGATCATATCTCTGCAGTACATCTCTGGTATTGATTACATACAAGCAATTAGGATTTTTTCTCATTTTTACACAAAGTATTTCATACCATTAACACTGCTGTACTTTTTTTAAAAACTGAAAATCTTAAGATTTTTCCATATTGGTATGAAGAGCTCCATTTTATGGGTGTACCATGATCTATTTAACTAGACCCCTTATTGATGAACATTTAAGTGGTTTCCACGCTTTATGCTGGTCACTAACATTTGCTAAGCACTTCCCTTTGCCAGTCACTGTGTTAAGCCTTTTACATGTATCATATCAGTCTTAACAACCCAATGTAATAGTTGTTTTATAAGTGGGATATGGAGGGTTTAGAATAGTAAGTACCTTGACTAAGGTCATATGCCAAGTTAAGTGGAGCCATTTCACCAGCACACACACAGCCCAATTATAGAGAAAAACTAGAATTCTTTCCATGGGGAGTCAGGTTGCTAGTACATACAAGACACCAATTTTGGGTGCCAATCATTATTTTTGTATTTGCTTCACTAGTTCCATTAAGTATTTTCTTCCAGTGCATTTTGTTATCTTTCTAAAGTTTTCCATAATTCCTCAGGTTTATTTTCCACGTATTTCATTTATTAATTTGACACCACTCCACTTTTTAGAGCCAACAAAAGTTTCTGGGAATTCCCTTAAAGAAGGAACATTACTTAGGCAGAAGATTATGCTAACTTGAAACCAGTTTCCAGTCAACTACTATCCATGCTACTGTATAGTTTGAACTGTTAGCTGACTCTTTGGCCAGATTTGTTCCTCAACATTTTCAGGATTTAAAAAAAAAAAAAATCTGTTGAAATTATTACATATGTCCCCTTTATGAAGCTCAGGAACTGTGGTGGAACTATAAATTAGTATACTCCTTTTAGAGAGCAATTTGAGAACATCTATCCAAATTAAAATGTGAATATCCTGAAATTCAATGTAACCTCATAGACAAAAAGGATGTTCATTAACATTGTTTCTAATAGCCAAAAGTTACTCATCAACCAAAGAACAATAGAACCATTATAAAATAGACATGGGTGACAGACTACATCTTCAATTTTTTTTATTTTTTTTATTTATTTATTTTTTTTTTTAGAGAGTGGAAGAGAGAGGGAAAAACAGAAATATCGATGGGAGAGAAACATTAATTGGTTGCCTCCTGCATGAGCTCCGACCAGGGCCTGGGAGGAGCCTGCATCCAAGGTATGTGACCTTGACCAGAACTGAACCCGGACCCTTTGGTCCACAGGGCCAACACTCTTATCCACTGAGCCAAACCAGCTAGGGCTATCTTCAATTTCTTAAGGGGACAAGAGATGTAGAACAGTTTACAGAATATAATTTATGCGCTGGGGTAACTGATTATCCCGGAACCTCAAAAAGTATTTTTGTAAATGTGCTGAAGAGTATGGAAACATAAAGAAAAATATCTTTCTGATGGTTCTCTCTGGATAGAAAAACCAGCTTAGGAAAACGGAGTTTTATACTAACTATAACTGAACTTTTAAAAATTAAATATTAAGTGTATGTATATAATTACATCTTAAAATTTATGGGAAAATAAAAACTGATTGACCAAGGTATCCTACTTCTAGGAGTTAATCCCCAGAAAACAATCTGAAATGGGTACAATTTATATAGTCAGATGTTTGTATCAGTCTTATTTATATTAGTACATTTATATTTTACTAATTTAATTATATTAGTAAAAACAATATCTAACAGAGGCTGTTTAAGGAATATATATATGGCTAATATGCAAAGTGGCCCCGGGGGAGCTTGACCGGGAGTTCTATCGCTTACTATGACTTGTGCTGACCACCAGGGGTCAGCACAAAACGGAAGGCCCCGACTGGCCTGGCCTAGGGACCCTACCCGTGCACACATTTCATGCACCAGGCCTCTAATATCTATATAACATAACACTATATAGCCATTAAAAATAACACTCTACAATTTTTATTAAAACAACTTTTCAATACATCTTTAAGTGAAAAGGAGGACTTACAACAATTATGTGCAATTTGATCAGTGTTAATAGTTGTTACCTTTAAATGGTACAATCACAGGTGATTTTTCTCCTTTTGCTATTCCGTTTCTTCTGTCTTTCTGGATTTTTTTATTTACTAAAGTGTTTCTAATTTCCTGTAATGATTATGTAATTAGGAAAAATGCTGTTAAAACAGATGCTTGTAGTTAACTCGAGTCTTGCTTTACAACTTGGACATTAAAGTAACTATGATGCTAGTTACTTTGGTGCAAATCCAAGAAATACTTCAACAAATGTTTGGAAAGAGTTATGAGATAAAAATCCATTTCCCAGGAATCTTAATAAAATGTTAAAGACACTACTTTGTTTATCAAAAGAATTTATTAGAAAATATTACATACTACATATCTGTTTAAGAGCATTGTTTCAGTAGACAGCACGCCATCCTCACACTACAAACAATGTGTCATGGACCATGGGCAACCACCCCTGTGCTCCCGAAACTACACCTTTTTGATGGAACATTCAAGCAGTACATACTGTGGTCATTTAAAGGAAGGTGATGAAGAAAATGTGGTAATTACCCGGAAAAAAAATCACAAAACTTTTGGAATGTTCAAATAATAACTACCTTCAGTCTCAAAATTCTAGACATCCCTACCTCTTAAAACATTGGTCAATGTGACTAGTAAGTTAAAGGGACAAGGTTTCAAAGGTCAAGTTAATACTGAATCTTCATAAATAAGAGAAATCTGTAACACCACAAAATATTTTTTAAGTTTGCACACATGCAAAATTAATATAAATTTCTGAAAAACCAAGAATGGGGAATGTTAAAGCAATGTATTTTTTAACATAAAGCATGCACTTTCTAATACGTTCTCAAATATTTCAAAGTTGTGAAAGTTTGAATTCTAACGCAGTAGCATTCTTCATTAGCTATTCTAAATGCGTTCTAACCAGTACGCCAACCAGATATGGATTACACCTTATTTTCAGGAAAGGTGGAAATAATTCATGACAGTGCTGCCAAACATCTGAGATTTGATCACACCACCTAGTTTTTCTTTAAAATTTATTTTAAACATGTTTCCAAAGGATAAATAGTAAAGCAAATTTTAAAATGTCACCAAAATCCCAAACGTCACTGAAAAAAAACAAAGGAAAAGTAGGCATTGTGTGATTAATTGGCTTAGGCAATTTGCTACAAAATTTTCAAAGTGTGAACCAGCTTTAACTCAAAATAGATTTAAAGTTAACACAGTTGTTTCTAGAGCTCAAAACTGAAACAAGTGAGGATGTGTGCATTGATATTTAAAATACTGTCTTAATATTTTATTAGAAGAAATATACTTCTACACTTTCCCATAATCTAAACACAAACTTTAATTAAAAATATATATAAATCAGTAGAATACCATATTACAAATGCCCGAAAATGCAGAATAAGGATCAAAAGCTGCTTGGAAATATTTCTAATACTTTTGGGGATTATACTCATAATCTATTAAAGATTATGAACTAGCACAATCACTATTGGGGCCATCATTTCAAAATATTTTGCCTATCAAAGCTAGCACCAGGAAAGTATTATGCACATAAAATTGAGAAACACAATCTTTATTTCAGAAAAGCACAGTCCCACAGAGTATTGCTCTTGCTAGTTTAGCTAGTAAAAGGGTCAGCCTGTTTCATTGAGCCATATATCTATCTTTGTCTGAATAGCTTTCCAGTTATTTGGTATCTACTGAAAATTGTTACTAGAATTAAAGACAGATTATCATGGAGACAACTCTTGTTTTCTTCCAAAATGCCAATTAAAATAATGGTACTATTAATACTTTTAACTTACCTTTTATAAAAATTAACATATTCTAATACTTAAAAAAACAACCAAATCCCTAGTCCCTGAAGGCCTAACCCAAACTCCATTATTTAATTCCTCTCCCTTTCCAAAACACAGATTTGAATGTCTAGATTTTTACAGCATGCTTAATGGCCATCATACGGTCACCAAATTAACACTTCATTCATTGTGAAAAGAATTTCATGATGATTGGACAAATGAACAACCGGAAAACCACTGAAGTGAGTCTCACAATTCTACCGTAGTCCCAAGAAAGAGAGGATCGTGGCCACCACTTACTGCAGTCCTCTGGTTGGCACAGATAATTTATCATCTCTGATAGGAAATATTATGAAAAAACAATTTTTACAAAGTCAACACTCTTTTCCACATTGATCTTCTAAATTCAACAAAGAATTTAGACTGCCAAAGCTGTAAATCTAGCAAATGTAAATCTAGCTTCATCTCAACTGGGGGGGGGGGGGGGGGGGGGGCAAAAAAAAAAAAAAAAAAAGAAAAAAACCCCCACGCACAAAGAAAAACAAGCAGCATACCCTTTATTTGGTGATACAATAGGTCAACAGTGTTCCAAAGTTTTGAACACTGAGTTTTACTCATGTGATCACTTGTTTTCTAGCAAAGCAATTTATTCAGATGTGTGCTTTTAAAAATACAGATTAGGAATCCTGCAATTGGTATGTTCTCTTATTAGAAATATTTTTCATGGTAATACATTACTTAACTTTCTATAATTAGAGGGGAAAATCATATAGATCATACTTTATTTTTAGCCTGACAGAATAAAGGTATTATATATATATATATATCTCTCTTCCAAAACCAGTGCACTTAGAAATTTCTAATTTGTGCACTCCATTGTTGAAATAAAAAAGCTGTATGTACATCTTCCACATCCACACTGCAACAGTCCTAGTAGTAATGCATTCCTTAACCCCTTTAGTTTCCCTTGAATTTGCTCTTTTTGGGGGTGGGGGAGGAAAGGATATAGAAGTTACAGTGCAGAACTATTATTTATTTTGAACAAAACATATCCTACGTTAAAAAAAATAATTTTATCAAAACCAAATTTCAATCACAGTTAGGTATGATTTTCAGTTAAAGGTATATGTTGAAATTGCACTTTGCAGATATCTTGACAGTGTCCTTATAGTGCTCTCCATTTCAGCCTATGTTTTTTTCAGTAGACACAGGTTCTTCCAGAGTTTTCTTTTGGCTTCCTTTCCGTGAATATTTGTATTTGTCTACATAGGCTTTAACCAAATTTGCCACTTTAGTAGAATTGACTTCTCCACTCTTACTATGACAAACCTATGAAAAAATGAGGGAAATTTTTTTTTCATAATTAAAAGGAATAAAATGGAAAGCTTTGTGAAAAACAACCCCAAACCAGACATTTTTCCATGTTTCTTTATATCTTATATGAACTTATTCAAAAGTTAAAAAAGCAGACAAGAATTAGAAGAAGGTAGCTCTTATTATTTTAATTAGACTTAAGCATCCCATTATTAAAATAGAGATGTTTCAAAACAATACATACAGAACTACACTAAAGCTATAACTTACTTTATCTACTGCTTTTCGTACAATCTCTTTATATTCTTCCTTGGTGATATCTTTATTTTGGTAAAAGGGCTTAATGGCCAGTTTTACCTCCTGTGCTGCTTTCTCTTGAATTTGCAATTTCTAATAAGAAGAAAATGTATAATTATTATTCGCCCAATTAAATACTTCCAAAAACTTTATTTAAAAATATAAAATTAAAAGCACTGTGCATTTGCATTATTAGAAGGAGCTCTTCAAATATGAATGTTGTAAACACAAAATTTATTTACTAACATACATATCAAACATTTCTAAAAATAATTATGAAATATTACTAGCAACTCATTGGGCATCAACATATCTAGATAGGACCCTTCAAATAATATTTGAATTTAAGACTATCAATAAATTCCCTTTACCACTTATACAATAGAAAGCTTGATTTTTTTCAACTTTATCAGAAACAAAATTATGTAGGTTGCTCTCAACCTTGAACTTGCCTTGTCTGTCTTCGAGCTATCTGCGCTGGCTTCCACTGTAACACTTACTTTGCTTTCTGCCAATTTTACAGCAGCATTAGAGGCTTTGCTGTGACTTGATGACGAAGCATTACCAGAACTTGGTCCCTGAACTGTTTCCATATTTGCTGGGGCTGCTGTCGGAGCAGGCAAGACTGGTGTACTCATGTTATTAGTTACATGAGAAGCACCAGGAATACCCTGTTTTAAAGAGTTATCATCAATTAATGAATTACTTGTACTCAATAGAAATCTCTTAGTTACATATTAGAAATAACATTTTAAAAATTCAAAGCAATTCAATCTTCGTACTTAAGAGAAATTCATATTTCAGGTCTTTTATGAAGAAAAATGAGTAACATTCTTAAAAACAGAGCCCTAGTTAAAGATGTCAACATGACTTTTAAATTATGCATGTTTATTGTAATGTTCTGACACCAACACTAAAAACAAGAAGAGCATTTAAAGAATAGTATCTTTCCTGCAAGGTTCTTTATGGAAATTAACTGAAGTGCCCCCCTTTAAAGATCAGAGGAAATGAGGCAGTGAAGTCAGATGGCTTGCAGTGAGTAGATAGCAGAAAAAGATTTAAGATCCCATATTCTGGAATCCCATTCCCTTGTTCTTCCAACTATATCTTGCTATCAGGATTCTAGAATTTCTGAAATGTAGACATAAAACTATAAGCAACACAATGTTTACAAATTATTCAAATGATCTGTATGCCTCAGAGGCACCTCATTCTTTTCAGCATGGTAATCTGTGAAAATGAGACAGTAATAGCTAATGAATAGCTTTCACTGGCGTCTGACCAAACAAGACAATACAAGCTTCACTAACAGTACTTTATCACAAGTTCCCACTCCTAACAAGTCCAATAAATTAGGGAAAAATTTAAAGCACCCATGACAATTCTAGTTTGGCTCATTATTACCTGGTCCTCTTAATGTGAAAAAACCCGTTTGGAATTTAATAACAGTATATTGTAGACTTGGTAATAAGTAATTCAGTTTCTTACTTGTGGGGAGGGAGATTTAGGAGAAGAACTGTGAAAGAGGGGTTATGAAGATTTACCATAAACCCAGCAATTTTCAACCAGTGTACCACAAGAATTTTTAAAACATGCAATACCTGATGATTTAATCAGGGACACTGACCTTAGATTGTCAAATAAAAAAATAACAGCTAACACAACAATAGCTGTCCAGTCAATGAAAAAAATTTACACCTATTGTTTTTGTGAGATCAGCAAAATATGTATTTTTTGTTGTGCCGCAAAATTTTAGTAATTCGTTTACATGTGCCATGAGATCAAAAAGGTTGAAAATCACTGCATAAACCTAATCAAATAAATAATTGTTTTGGATGACAGGAAGCCCTTTCTTGAATATCTGTCCCTAATCGCTAAATGTTTACAATGGCTATGTTGATTAAACTTGAGTTGCTAAAAACATACCTGCAATTGCTTTCCATCTGGCTGTGAAGCAATGTAGTTGACTTGTTGGGATGGTGGGGGAGGGGGTGGGGGTGGTGGTAGTCCCTGAGATACACTGGTAGGAGCAGCTACCTGCATGAGAGGTACTCCTGTGTGCAGATGCAAGGGTAGCTGAGGATGAATATTAAATGGATTGCGTTGGATGTTCATCAAAGGAGCATGAACACCCATTGGATATGGGAACATATTCATAGGCTGGTGCTGTGCATTCATTTGTTGCTGCATTACATTCATTTGTGGTTGCATCATATTTATAGGTAGCTGAGAACCATCACCTTGTTGGTTTGTTTGGTCTTTTAGGTTAGAATCTATCAAAAGAAAAAGGCTTGTGAAAAATATGTTACAAATTTCTTTAGAGAAGCAAAGAACTGATGGTTATAGTAAAATTTAAATAGCAATGAACAGATTCAGAACATCTAAACCAATCTCCAATTATTTGGCTTAAGCTTGTCATTTCTAAATAATGTGGGCTAATTTTCTAAAAGAAAACATGCAACTAAAATAATTTTTAAGAATAGAGTTACATGATATAACATCCATCAATATGAGCAAAGAATAAGTAGCTCAAGAAACTTACTAAGGAAATAAATACAAATTCATTTCGGTTACTAAATTAGAAAAAAAGTTAATCAATTTTTAATCTTCAACAACTTTTTTCTCACATTGTTAACAAAAAAAGCCAAGAAAGATAAATCTTTATTAGAAGAGTGATTTATATGAGAACAATGATCAAAATAATTCAAGTGTACACATCTGAAGTAAAATAAATAGAACTTAAATCCTGCATAGAAACATCCCAAATTTTTCTATTGTAGTACTTAAATTATACTTAAAATATTAAAGTTTTTGCAAAGTTTCAGGTAGGGGTAGAATGAAAGAAGAAAATAAATACTAATGTGTATATATTTATTTAAAATATAAAGTGACCTGTAAACAATTGGGATTCAATTAACATTATCCTATATAATAAAAGGCTAATATGCAAATTGACCAAATGGTGGAACATCGGGTCACTATGATGTGCACTGACCACCAGGGGGCAGACGCTCAATGCAGGAGCTGCCCCTTAGTGGTCAGTGCGCTCCCACAGGGGGAGCACTGCTCAGCCAGAAGCCCTGAGCCGGCTCACAGCTGGAGAGTGCAGCAGTGGCGGGAGCCTCTCCCGCCTCCGCAGCAGTCACACATCCCCCGAGGGCTCCTGGACTGCGAGAGGGCGCAGGCCAGGCTGAAGGAGCCCCCACCCCAAATGCACAACTTTCATGCACCGGGCCTCTAGTAAAACTATAAAGACAGATCATTTCAATTCAAATGAATAAGGCATTAAACCTATAGTCTCTTTTCTCAAATAAAAGTGTTAATAAACAGAATACATTACCCTGTTCAGGTGTTTCCTCTTCCTGTCTCATCCATCCAGATTGTGAGCCTGAGGAATTCCTCCCTCGTCGTGAATAATAGTTTTGCACATCTGCTGGAAGAGTCTTTCTCACAGCCCAACTAGATGCAGATGTCCACCCGGACCTATCTGCTGGTGTATCAAATGAGAACTCTTGCTCACTTTTCCGCTTATAGTGTTGCTGTTCCACAAACTTGAAAGACTCATTCCCTGAACCATTTGAATTCCCTGAGAGGGGTTTTCGGTTTTGCCACCGATTTTCATTTTGATCTGAATAGACAAAATTACCTCTGTAAGTGCCTCTGCCCCGGTTACCTCTACCACGGTTAGACATCCAACCTGAACCAAAGTTTTTATTCCAAGCATTCCCTGAATTTTCATTTCTATTTTCTTCCCAAGGGGAATCTTTTAACTTTTCTGGATGTCTGGTCCTTGGATCAGGTCCAGAATTTATTGTTTCTGTTACCCAACTGGAACAGTCATTTCTATGTTTGTCAGCAGAATTTGGATCATCAGCATCTGGACTGATGTCATTTTTTTCTTTTCTTGTATTTTCATTCTGTTTTTCTGCGTCGTTCTTTCTGTACCGATCATTTCCTCGTGGACATCTCCAACCATCATTTGCCCATCTTTCCTTCCACCGAGAAGAGTAGCTATCTCTGTCATTTCTACCAAATGATGAACTCTTACTTTTTGTTCTAGATCTTGATGGTGACCTAGAACGAGATCTGGACCTAGACCACCTTCTGGTTCTCCTTTCTCTATCTCTTTCTCTCTCTCTCCTAGGCCCATCTCTATCACTTTCTCTTTCTCTGCTCCGGGACCTGGATTTTTCTGTTGGGGAGGAATCTTTCACTCTTGACTGAGATCTTCTGTTCTCTCTAGAAGTGTCTCTCTTTGGGGAGAGTGACTCTGATCTTTTGCCTTCCCTTGTGCTGTCTCTTTTTGGAGATCGAGACTGTGACTGCCTTCTTTCTCTTGCAATATCCTGTTTTGGGGACTGGGAACGAGATTTTCTCCGTCCTCTTGATGATTCTTTTTTGGGAGATGGTGACTGAGACTTCCTGCTTTCTTTCCCAGTTTCTCTTTTGGGAGATGGAGACTGAGACCGCTTCTTTTCCCGTGCAGTGTCTTTGTTGGGAGACCAAGTTGTAGATGGGGAATGAAATCTAGATCTTCGAGTACGAGGCTTTTTGGCTTTATCTATCATATCTATTGGGTTTTCAAATGGCTGAGATACAGTTTCAACTTTTTCACTTACAGGATCAGAAAATGGCATATTATTTTGAGAACTGTGCTCTGTAGAATTTTTGTTCAGTTGTTTAGCATCAGTATTTACAGACAGTTCAATTCCAGACTCATTCTGATCACTGCAATATGAATCACATTCCATGGGTATCATTTCATTATTGTCTTCACTAAAATGTTTCTGAATCTGTTCAATGTGTGTGTTAGGCAATTCTGTAGATCTGGGTTGTTCAACCAGAGACTCAGCCTTTTCTTCTAAAGATGTGTCTAATTTGGTGTTAAGATTATTTTTTAATAAATTACTTTCAGAGTCTTGAATACTATTGAAATTTTCATTCCCTGAAGTATCACACATTACTTCTGTATCTCCAGTTTCAACAGGCCCAGGCAACTGAATCTCTGAGATCTCAATAGAGGTTTTGTCCACTGTTTGTATAATTCCACCCTCAGAAGATTCTAATTTGGGGCTGCCTACAAGCTGTTCTGCTTCTACTGTTGAATCATTATGATCAATAATTTCTACTATAGGACTCTCTATAACCTCTTGATCATTAACATCTGTAACTTTTTCTTCATTGACCTCTACACCTTTTTCTTCATTAACCATAACTATCTCTGCATTCTCAGATAACTCATCTAGGCTTGGTACAGGTTGGTGTACTTCAATTTCAGATGCTGAACATGTAAGAGAATCATTTGGAGGATAATCTGTACATATATCTGCTTTTACTTCTGATTCTGAAGGTAAAGATATTTGGTCTTCATTTTCTAATACATCACCTCCTTCTTCAGAAATAGTTTTAGAAATATCACTTTCTAAGCAAAAAACATTAGACTCATTATCCGTATTCTCAATTTTTTGAACTTCCTCAATACCTGTATTCTCAACTTTTTGAACTTCCTCAATACCTGTATTCTCAACTTTTTGAACTTCAATACCTGTATTCTCAACTTTTTGAACTTCCTCAATACCTGCATTCTCAACTTTTTGAACTTCCTCAATACCCGTATTCTCAACTTTCTGAACGTCCTCCTCCTCTCCAACTAGAACAGGAGGATCTTGGATACAAGACTCAGAATATGAAGATTCTACTTTTTCCTCTGTGTCATGGTTTTCAGTATGTTCCTCACTTTCTTCTATTTGCTCACTGCAACTTTTCAAGCCATTAGCAGACTTATTTTCTACATTTGTCTGCACAGTACAAGTGTTTCTACTTTCTTCATCTGATAGGTGCTCTTTCTCTAACACAGGTGGTGTGTCAGATTCTGCTGTTTCTTCATCTACTGAATCACTGGAAGATGCTTTTTCAGAAGGAGGTACAGAGCTTCGAAGTTTCTTTTTCAGTAAAGGTGGTTTCCTTCCTCTTCTTACAGACTTCCGTTTGGGGGCCTGTCTTGTTTGCTTTTCTGACTCAGCTGAAGAAGAAACACTTAGAGATGGATTATTGTTATCTGGGGCATCACACCCAGAATTATTTGATGTCGGGGATCTCTGAGAATGAGTGACTGTTTCAGCTCTTGTGTTACGTGTAGATCTCCTTGTAGGAGTTGCTGCTGCAGATTTTCGTCTTGATCCTCTGGTGTTTGATGTACCAGAAGTTTGCTTCTTCTCTTCTCCTTCTTGAGTATGTGCTAATGCATATCCCTTGCAAGAAGTACCTAATATTTTTTTAAAGAGTAAAAAGTAAGTATATGTTTCAATAAATGAGAATAGTTTAGCTTCAGCTTATTTTAGCATAAAATATACATCTATAACAGAGTGAAACAAACTATACTTATGAATCAAATTATGAATAAATATATAGCTATTAATATCTGAGTAATATCAGATATTTATCAGCTTCTTTTAATGCTACTGAAATATGTTATCACAAGATTTGAATCCATGTAGGCAATTTTATAGGGAGAAAAAACACAAAAGAAAATACGTTTGGTCTGATAACTGCCATTTGCTTTATGAATTGTTATTACCTTGGCAAAATGCAATAGAAAACAAGTTGTCACAAATACAGACTCAAATTCTTTGTTCATAATTAACGGGATATGAGATGCTACTTCTAAAGATCTATGGTTTGGACACTGAAGCCCTAAATAGAAGGGAGAGTTCAAATCAGTCCTCGAAAACATTAACTTGTAATTTCTTAAAGTAAAAGGGATTTCTGGTTTGAACAATTTTAAAGTCAAGTCACTGACCAAATATTTACAAAAATATTTAGACTTACTATTTAAACCTTATTTAACAGTTTTTCTAAGTCATCAACACACTGTTTATGAGATTGAAAGAAGCTCTTATTTTTTTAAAAGTAGAAAAGAACTTCACAAACTTTACCAAAATTCTGTAAAGATATGGTATTTGTTGGAAAAAGAGTTCTCGGCAACACAGAAGGGATGAGAGGAAGGACTTCTGTTTCAATATTCCAGGGTATAAAACCAATTCTGTAAATTCGAAACAAAATAAAAACATTTTGTTTAAAAGGTTTAAAAAATTAAACCAGCAACTTTCCAAATCAGGTTTGCAATATGAAAACATGGGGTGCTTTATTTTTTGCCCAAATAGTTAAAAATGTAAATTCAAAATTACTCATTGTTCAAGGGTGGCAATTGGCTGCAAAGAAAAAAACCTTTAAGTGCATGTTTTTCAGATAAATTTATGGTAAATGGAGATCTAGGTAAATATAAAATAGTTGTTTCTCTTTTAAATAATATTTTATCAAGATTTCTAGCTGTTACTCATTTTTTGCTATTCTAAAAAAAGTCACTTGAATAATAAAATGCAAAGATTTTAAGGACACAGTTTGATGACTTTTGATCACTATATATATATCTGTGTAACCACAACCCCAATAAAAAAAATAATAATTTTCACCACTCCAGAAAGCACCTCATGCCCCTTGCACCCCATTCCCTTTCCAGGCAACGGAAGAGATAATTTTGTTGAATTAATCAAATCAAGGTTTTAAAGAAATTAGCAGGATCAAAGGGAAATCAGTCCATGAGTTAATAAAAATTATAAATATTGGCCTGGCCAGCATGGCTCAGTGGGTGAGCATCAACCTATGAACCAGGAGGTCATGGTTTGATTCCCGGTCAGGGCACATGCCCGGGTTGCGGTCTCAATCCCCAATTGGGGGCGTGCAGGAGGCAGCCTATCAATGATTCTTTCTCATCATTGATGTTTCTATCTCTCTTCCCTTCTTTCCTCTCTGAAATCAATTAAAAGAAACAAAAACAAATTAAAATATTGGAAACAGAACTATTATTTGAATTCTGAAGTATTTCATAGATGATATCAGTTTTTGTTACATGTCTTTGTTTTACAACATATTTCAAGACCCCAAGCATCAAAATATGTCACTTTTTGAAAAACCTGGCTTCTGTTGCTATATTATATTTTTAAATTCCTCCATTTAAAGATGATGACTCTTCAACGTTCCCTGTGTCCCCAAGGACCTGCTAAGACCCTGAAGTTTCTGCATCCAAACCCAATCCACTGTTAGCTTCTTCTTTTCTGATTCATATTTGCTCATCACTTCAAGTCTCCTAACAAGACTATTTTATCCAATATAACTTGAAATTCTGGAGTAGGAGGAGAAGCTTGAAAAAAAAATACAACGTGTATATGTACAGAAATATATAACTAAGAAAAAGTTTCATCTGGGCTTCCTAATTTTACTTCTATTTGTGTTGCATTATTCCTAGAGCAAGCATGTCAAACTCGCGACCAGCGGGCTGCATGCAGCCCACAATGAATATTTTTGCGACCCAGCCAATATAACAGCATGTAAGAAACGTTTTAATAAAAATTTTGTAACTTTTACAATATCCTGTTATATACATAATTAATAACAAACTGCAAAGTTCGCGAATAACCGATTACTGTAATCGCGTTGCATTCATTTCCCTTATGTGCGTTATGCACTGGCACATCATTTCTCTCCACTAATACTAGCAGCAAATATTTTAGCAGCTGAATGCCACATCATCAGTCTTGCACTGACTTGTTTGGTATGCACAAAAGGAAATATTTTGCTTTTGGAGAACAAGAAAAATAGGTTTATTTACGTTATGCTTATTAATTTGTGCAGTTATTCAGCTTCTGGTAAGTTAATGTTCAAAAAAATATTAATTTTTATTAAAATGTTCTATTATTTTCTATTATTTTATGTTAACAATTATTCATTTATTTCAGCCCTTTGTATTCAGCACCACTCTATTGAAAAAAACCTACGTTTCTATGAAAATTGAAGCTTTTGTTTTTTGCAGTCCATATAAACTTAAACCTTGTTTATTTGGCCTGTGTTAGCCTTTGAGTTTGACATGCTTCTCCTAGAGTGTGAAGGACCCTATGCAGAACTACATTACAGTGGTATCTATTTATATAAAAATCCTGGGTGTAATGTCACGACTGAGGCTTGACCAACCGGAAGGAAGTCAGTCTCGCAGGGGTTGTCTTGGCCACAGCTGTGCCCTCCCCGAGCTGTTTCCCGGAGCTTTTTCCGGCAAGGGCGAGGTTTGAGGCAGGAACCGGCCCTCGGAGCGTGGACCCACTAAGTCCTGGGTCCTCTTAGCAACAGCTGCGCCCTCCCCGAGCTGTTTCCAGTAAGGGTGGGGTTTGAGGCAGGAACCGGCCCTCGGAGCGTAGACCCACTGAGTCCTGGGTCACTTTGCCAAGGGCTGTGCCCTCCCCAAGCTGTTTCCCACGAGGCCTGAGGAAGAACCCACCCTTGGAGCGCCCAGCAGCAGTCAGTCCTGGGTTGCTGAGGAGGAGGCCACGGCGGCGTGGTAGAACTCTGAGTCTGGCCCAATAGGGGGTGTGGTCGGCCTTCAAACCAGACCCTGACAGTAGGGAGGAGGGAGCCCCATTCCTCACAGAATCCGCTGTTGGATAGCTTGCTGTCAGTGGCCTGCCAGCCAGGAACCCCATTCACCTGCA